CCAACACGACCAGCCAATGATGTGCAGGAAGTGGTGGAGGATCCAAGCGTGAAATGAAAATAAAAAGCATTTAGGGATCAAGAATTATTGCAAATATGAAATGATAAAGATAAAAAAAACATGCAAGGATTAAAAATTATTACCACCAGTAGTGTCGTGCTTCCTATGACCTACTTCGTCCTCCATTGACATCCACCTCTCAGCCTCGAATACATATATACAAGGCAAGCCGCGCCCCTAGTTGTACTCATGGATCCGTGTGAGATCCATGAAGTACCGGAGGTATGCAACATCAGTGTAGGTGGCACTCGTGTCCACAAAAATCATAGTGCCAACTAAAAATAGAAAGTAACACTTCAAAGCACGAGTCCTGTGTATGGCCACCTCCTCGGTATCATTATCAGCTTGTTCTACAACAATGACCGCATCATCAAATCTCGCCTTCAATAACGAAAACCTAACATGAGCATCACTGGTCATATTCACCTCCTTGAGCGCCTTCCTTGGATCAGCCCTCAGATGCTCCACCATCATATCGACCGCCTTGTCTTTGGTCATCCTACCATGATGGAGGAATACCCCCCTAACGGTAGATGCAACAAAGATGAGACGTCGTCCAGTGTAATCGACATCTCACCATGCATGATATGAAAGGAAGAGGTCTCAGAGTGTCATCGCTCCACGAATGTATTAAGCATCACGTGGTTAACTAAAATGCAACCGGTCAAGTATAGGTCACTCAACCCATAAGCGGTTACAACCAAATGAAACTATTCCTCATCAGGCTGATGCAATGCTAAAATATTTTGCCTATGATTCAGAAACTTTTGGGGATCACGCATCTATGAATTTCCATAAATAATTAATGTCTATAGGAATCAATGTTAGAAATAATCAATGTCAGCAGTTTAAATTATTGTAAAAAATATAGTAACAATGTGACTAATGCTACCTCTCCGTCCCAGATATGTCTGACAGTGTGGTATGGGTATAAAGAAAGTAGGGACATATCATATAGACCCCCTCTGAAAGCCTCTGGCTCAGCATCAGCAACATCACCCTTCGGAGGTGGCACTAGTGCATCACGATCACTAGGTGTGACTAGATCAACAGGAGGTAGCACAGGTGCATCTAGCCCCGCGGGAGGATGGGGGAAATAACGTGTCAGCTGGTGAATCCCGTGGTTTGTGGGAAGAAGACGAAGAAGGTGGAATGGGCTTAGATGTAGATGGAGTGAACTAAGATGTAGTTGTAGTGTCCTGAGATGTAGATAGAGTGGCCTAAGGTGAAGGCTGAACCTCAAGAGTGGATTCAGTCTCAGGAGTAGAGTGTACACTAGTAGTTGACGCCTCTCCTTGACTAGAGGTACCTGCTGCATCCGGACCCGACTGACTCCACTCTCGTCTAACGGATGCGTATTGGGAAACCCGTCCATGTCTCAATCAGTCTGCTCTGTCAACCATTACACATGCAAGGTCAAGTTAGTCGTGGAATCAGCACAACAATAAAACTATAAAACAAACAAAAAAAACTGAGATTATTCTGAAGATACAACTAAAATGAGCAATACAATGATGATTTCAATAAAAAATTAAATACTACATTTCAATGTCCCAGTGAAAGCTTGCGCATCTCCAAGATATCTTCAACTGATCTTTGTAGTGTTGCTTCAATTCGAGCAGAACTTTCTCTTTGAAACCAAAAAACATTCTCCATATCGTCGTAACATCCGCTCGAGTCTTGAGCTCAAATTTGTTGAACACAATGTTCCCTTCGTTGTCAACCGAGGGTGAACGGTACTCAAGCTTGATAACTTTTAGTGTGTCTCTGTAAGGTAGGATATAATGGATTTCGTCTATGATATCATCGAGGGAGGTGAGATCGGCGAGTTTGAACGTCCTTCCGGGTGTAGAGGCGCCGGAGTAGGAGACAATTGTGACATACCAATAAATGTTTATTTCACACATTTGAGATGTTTTAAGTTTGTGTGAAGTATAACAAAAGAACAAGATCAGTATATTTGTGCATAAAAACCGACATCTCGTCAATGAATGGAATCTTCGGTGGAAGCGGCGTCGGAGGTAGTTTGCTAATTCGAGCTCCTTTCACAACACGTTTTTGAGATTTTGGAGTCGGTGAGTCCGGAAATACTTTGTCAATGAGTTCAAAGTATGAAGGAGACCATGTAGTCAAGTTGTCATTCAGTGTAGGCTTCATTTTCTTCAGAGCGCCTTTTGTTTTTATCGGTTGAGAAGGCTATTTCATGTCGGTGGTTTTGGGATAGGAAATCTTCCTCAATTGTTCTTTGATGTGGAGTTTCATATTGTCATCAGCCTTCAAAAATCTCTCTTGTATCGCTTCATATTCGGTCAAAATAGAAATATTTGATTTACCTTCATCCATGCATCCATCATCATCGAAACTAAGTCTCTTCCAATGAGAGCAAACCTAGTCCATTCTTATTGGTTCACCAAGTTTCACCTTTTTAGCAATAACACAAGCACATGGGGACCATATGTTTTCGCAATAGTACAACCATACTTTGCGCTATCGCAGCCTACATTATCAGCTCATTTAGCCTCGTGAAAAATATAGTTCAACCCCAACTGAGAAATATTATCGACCAAATAAGAATAAAGAATGTTGTCTTTAAATCGGTGTTCCAAAACTGTGATGCTCCGACCAAATGTTATTTGTATCTCATTACGTTGGTTTTGAAACATGTGCTTCATAGAGTTCCAATCTTCACATAAATCCCCTTTGCTATTTTCCAACCAATTTTTTAAAGTAACATGTGTCGACTTAACTCTGTTGATGGTTGTATTTCCAAGGTTTCAGATATTATCAGTCCACGCACAAACTATCTTCTCCTTCACCTGATCAAGAATGATGCTTTCAACATATTTCAACAAAGGCAGATACTTTTCACACACTTTCCAAAAATGAATAAAGGAATCGTCATATAATTCTTTTGTGGCAGAATTTATTATGCGATTCCAAGCATCCATTATTTTATCCACAATCACACTCGACTTCACAAATTTTCCACCTTCGGACTCTACATGTTTCGTCCCTACCGCGGGTTTAACCCGACTTTTCACATACTTTGTTATGTGATGCTTACAAAGTAATACATAAGAAGAAGGAAACACCTTTGCAACCGCATTCATCGATGCGGTATTGCAGACCATAACAATAGCTTTAGGCATCTCACCTCCCCCCTTCAAAAGTGACAAAAACATCTCTAATGCCAAAGTAAAATTGTCCTTTTTTTCACACTCTAAAAATGCAAAACAAGTGGAATATGTCTTCTCAGTTGAGGTAATAGCAATCATCTCAAATAATAGAAGTCTATACTTGTTGGTCTTGTAGGTAGAATCAAGTATGAGCACTGTCGGAAACGTGTTGAATAACTTTATTGAATCTGGATGAGTCCAAAAAATATCTCTAACCGTAACTCCATCTTACAAGTTCGGTATCGGGACACGTAACTATTATCGACCAACAGTTTCAACAGTTATTGCATCTCAGTTCTATCTCCTCTAATCACCTTGTTGGTGAGGTATCAAATGTTATACACTTGCTTGATATTTGATTTATTGTCGGTTTTCTTTTATTTCAGTGTTGCAAGTATATTTTTCAGTTGGACGTAATGTCACTAATACATACCTTCTCTTCCAGCTTGAGTCGACATACACTAGGATGACCGGCTAATTTTCAGCACAATTCTGGTTATGCACACCACAAATGACATTAAATCTCCATTTTTGGCTAGCTAACATGTAACCACGAAGCATAAACGGACACTCACATTTTCTACTACCCGTGTCTTCTCTCTTAAAATTTTAGAGAGGAGTTCGATATTTCCCGTTTCTTTCGCATAACATAGCCACAAAGACGCTTCTTCTATCAGAGCCATTATTTGACCTTTCGATAACCACATCAAATCCAAGTTTAGATGCCACCATATGAATCCATTCGAGCATGTTATCATGATTTTCAAACTCTTCCTTGTTATTAAATTTGTCACGAACATCTACCACCTTAACAACAAGCCCTTGAACATTCGGAGAAATATCATTCGTAGAAACTACTTGTTTTGAGATATTATTGGGGTGCACCATATCTATAGGAAACAATAAAAACACTAAAAATAATTAATCTACTGCTGCAGAAAATGATGAAAAATGAACACGAAAATATATATCCAGAAAAGTTCATGTTCAACACTCCGGAGATATATCTCTGGACACTTCGTAAGTTTTTCAGCAAGATTTCATGATTAATGCGAGTAATGTAGATGTAAATGAACAATCTTTACCTGAAATTCAATCTTCTTTTACTTCTTGTGATATGTTGAACCAAAAGGATGGAGATTTAGAGTGAAAAATGGAATTGAGAATGTAGGGTTTTTAGGGGTGGGGGTTTGAGTTGAAATAAAAGTATGACAACAATGAGGTCTGATCATACAGTTGGAAAATGTATCAGATATCTCCAGAATAATCTGTCATCCAAAGGTGACAGGAAATTCAAATTACCACCCACATCTTTCGGAGTATATCTCTGAAATATTCACTAAACTGATTAATATTAATATTTTTTCCAAATCGTTCCAGAGATATATCTCTGAAATAAATTTTTAACAAAGACATGAGGCGTTATTCAAAATGATATTTTTTTAATATAAAAAAAATACGTCTAGAGATATATTTTCAAATATTAAAGACCATTATTGAAAGTCCGCATAGTGCTAAAAAAATCTTTAGGATGCCTTAAAAAATTCTCTCCAAAGATAGATCTATAGACAGAAATCAGCCCAATTTCAAAATAAGAGAAATAACATTTACCACAAACAAAACTCTCCCACCAAATTATTTCTCCCCACGGCGCATCCGAGAACTTATGTCGTCAACGCTACCATGTACCACCTGATCCTCACCGACCCAGGTCGAGGATGTTGTGTTTAACATCAGAACTCATCGTCCCAAATCTACGTGACCATGGCAAGGTTCTTGTTTTATTCCTTTGAAAAATAATATACTGTCTCTGAATTTTCTCTGCCCATATATCAAATCAAATACGCTTTCATTTCATTCACAAATTATAATCATAATTATAAATTAATCACGGTAATACATGCATTCAGTTATTGTATTAATAATCTTAATTTCAGTTATGTTACTTGTTCATATTGTTTGGATCGTTCATGTCACAATGTCAATTGGCATAAGCTTGTTTGCCTCAATTTCTTCTCTTTAATTTTTTTTTTTTTGTGTACTTCCGACATAGACACCAACACATTGACATAGTGATAATTTAAAAAATAATAAATTTAATGTAATTGCAGTAATCACAAAAGTGACGTCGGTGTTGATGTCTGTGTCATTGTCGGTCTCGAGACACTGACATGGACATTCTTTTTAAGAGGCGTTGGTGCTCCATCTTAGAAACATGTTTACATGGACTTAAATGAAAAGATTCTGGAGCAAGAGAGAAACTTTGCTGTGCAAAATTACGGTTCTGCTAAAAAAATAATTTACATTGGAATCTAAACTCTATGTTAGTTTTGTTTATTCATTTTTGAGCTTCAAACCTAAATGTTTTAGGAGTTTTGTATGTATGACTTGCTATGATTCGGTGGGGGAACATTTTGCATTATGAAGAACTTATTTGTTATTTATCTGGACTTACCTCATAACTAAGGATTTTATGTAAATATTTAGAAGAATTTGTAAAACTAGCTTATGAAATAAGCCATGAACTTTTTTTCAGCTTATTTTAATGCACTGTTCCATTTATACCCACACCTATTGTCTGAGAGTGAAGTACCGGATTTTTAGTGAGATTTATGACATTAGTTTTGTTGCATTTTATCGGGATAGAGCTTTCAACTATTGCATTGTTCTAGGATATTTGTGTGTGTATTTTGAATCTTAGCTTTGCTTGAGACTGAGTTTCAGCCTCTGAAGAGTAAATGTTCAATCTGTTCTGCAGGCTTCTCGCTAGTGGAAATGTTAGAAGGTTTGTGTATTCTTTTCACCGGAAGCAGAACAATGGCAACTTTGAAGGATTCCATTCAACGGGGCTCCCTTACTCAACATACAAGTTTTTCTCATACATCGGAGTTGAACGTAAAGGACATACTCCATTTATGTTATTTAAATCAAAGGTTAAACTGTTGACAAATAGCAACGCGAGGAGCTTGTATACCCTACCTGCAAATAGTGTAAAATATCATCATAGTCAAGTTCTTTGGAACATGATGCGTTTTCATAAAGGGCCGGCTCTACCTCCAGTAGGTCAATTTACCTGTGCTGTAAGTCTAGCTATCGTCAAATCGAACTTTTTTGTTCACGGTATGATTGCTGTCATAATAGGCGCATGGACGCAAGGTAAATTAGCCAAAGCAGAACCATTCCCGAAAAGGGATTTGTTGTATTTACATGCAAATGATGGACGTGTATATTTAACCTCAGCTCTCTTGGAAGCGTTTGAGATGTTTATCTTGTTTCTAAGGGCTGTGTATTTACTGCTTTTGTTCACTCCTTGCATAGCTATGGCTCCTTTAGTTCACTATTTAGGTATTGAATTTAGAAAAACATGGATTCGTGTTGTACGTCTTACGCTTGCAAAGGCTGGCCCGGCGTTCATTAAATGGGGTCAATGGGCTGCAACCAGACCTGATCTATTTCCGAGGGATCTATGCGGTGAACTTGCAGAATTTCAAACCAACGCACCATCACATAGTTTTAGTTATAGCAGAAAATGTATTGAAAATGCGTTCGGTCGCAAGTTAAATGAAATATTTGAAAAGTTTGAGGAGGAACCGGTAGCTTCGGGTAGCATCGCTCAAGTTCATCGAGCTACACTAAAGTACAAATACCCTGGTCAGCAAATCAAGAAGCCTGTTGTTGTAGCAGTGAAGGTCCGACATCCGGGGGTTACAGAAGCAATTAGAAGGGATTTCTTCATTATCAATCTTGTTTCCAAAATTTCGTGTATTGTTCCTAATTTGAAGTGGTTGAGATTAGATGAAAGCATACAACAGTTTGCGGTTTTTATGATGTCTCAAGTTGATCTTTCGAGGGAAGCGGCACATCTTAATCGTTTTATCTACAATTTCCGGAGATGGAAAGACGTTTCATTCCCGATACCTCTGTACCCCCTAGTGCACCCTTCTGTTTTGGTAGAAACCTATGAACAAGGCGAAAGTGTTTTGCATTTTGTTGAAGAGCTTGAAGGCCATGAGCATATCAAAAGTTCTCTTGCGCATATTGGAACGCACGCTCTTTTAAAGATGCTTTTGGTAAAATACTCTGAATTCTCATGTGATTTGTTTTGTTTTCTTTTCGTCTTTTTGAAGCTCTTAATCGAATCTTTTTCCAGGTGGATAATTTTCTTCACGCAGACATGCATCCCGGAAATATTCTTGTTCGTATAGCAAAAAGGAAATCACCACCTGCTGTACAGCTCTTTAAGTCAAAGCCTCATATCATTTTCCTCGATGTAGGCATGACTACCGAACTTTCTAAGAGGGAACGAGAATCTTTACTGGAATTCTTTAAGGCTATCGCACTTCAAGATGGCCGTGGTGTTGCAGAGTGCACACTTAGATTATCGAAACAACAGAATTGCCCTGACCCAAAATCTTTCGTCGAGGTATTGTATTATCGACATACCAATGTTCCGTAATTGTTTAAGCGTCCACCTATTATTTTTCCTGAATTCTCTATCGTTTAATAGGAAGTTGATAAATCATTTAAGTTATGGTCGTCCTTAGAAGGTGAAGCTGTCCACTCAGGCGACCGTATGCAACAATTGCTCGAACATGTTAGGCAATGTAAAGTCAATATAGACGGGAATATTTGCGCTGTGATAGTGACTACATTAGTTCTGGAGGTAAAGTTCTGTTAATTATTTTATGGTTTTATCAAGTTTTCTTTAGTATTCCTATGCTTAAACATGAACTAATATTTCAAGTTTGTGTTGCATTTAGGGGTGGCAACGGAGACTTGATCCCAATTATGATATGCTGCACGAATTGCGAACGTTGCTGTTTAAAACTGACTGGGCAGAGGAGTCTCTAGCTTATGCTATTGAAGGACCGGTGGCCCCATAGTTAAAAGGCGGCTCTTTTGAAAGCTCCGCTTGTAGTGCCCGAAAAATTTGGTATGTATTAATGAAAGTCGCATCATCCGATTCAATTTAAACTTCATTTAATCAGATTGAATCAGATTTTTTGGATTTAGACAGACTAGTTAGTAGATGTTCATATTGATTTAATCGTATTCACAATATGTTTCGATTTTTCGCTGTCTCTACTCATATATGAAATCGTAACATAATACTTCTCTTTAGGTGATTATCATGTGCACTGGTTAAATGAATTTTAGACACTATTTAATATTTATATTGTTTTGTAGATTATATTTACAAATTATAAATCTTATCTGTTAGAAATTTTAAATCAAGAAAATTGAGTCTTGCTTATATTAGGAAAGTAATTAAGATTTGCTAATAGCAAAATTATTTCCAAACAAAAAACAGTGAAAGATGAAACAAAATTGGTTAGAAGTAGCCTTTCATTCTTGTTTGTGATTTCAAGACAGTTGTGAGGAAGAGAAAAGTGATATCAAAACCATTGGTTATTTTTGTTTTTGTTTACATGGTTAGCTTTCAAAATTGTGAAAGAAAATGACAAAAAAACATAAAATGAATAATTCATCTTTTTAAAAATGAAGAGAAACATTTTAATTTTGTATGAGAAAAATTTCTCCAATTTTTGTTATTGTCAATTTAGTTATTGCATATTGGGTTGGATGTATATTGGAAAAAAAAAAAGGCAAAACCAGGAACACTTAACTTGCCACTCCACTTTTGTGATACCCCACATAATTTCATGATTCTAAAAGTATTTATGTTAAAAATTTGATTCAAATTTGCGCACAAAATTTTTGATAGACAATTCAAAAGTTCAGTTTCAATCAAAAATTTTGGAAGTGTATTAAAAATTTTCGATATATTGGAATTTTTAAAAATTCAAAGACGTTTGAATTTTTACCAGTATTTTTAAAATTTACCATGTTTTATCGGAAATTTCAACCAATGTAAAATTTTCGGTAGTTCAATTTTATAAGTTTTCAAATGGTTATCATTCTGTCGACAGTTTTGGACGGTTGTGATTGTAGCGACTGTTTTGTGTGTAGCAGAATGAATTCAGAGTTGTATAAATAGGGGTCACCTGTTGTTGAGAAAAACAGTATGCCACTAACTCTCAAAGGTTTAAAAGTGTCTATCTATTTCGAGCAATACTATGGGGATAGGAGGATGACATCTCGACTATAAATGACTCATGTCTAAACTTTATGAAAAATTTTAAAGCATAAAGTGCACAAAGACACAATGATTTGAATGGATTAAGTGTTTTTAAGTCTTTTGAAAATGGTCAAAATATGCTTAATATTGATTAGCATTTATTAAAAAAATGAAGTTTGAAAATGCATTTTATAATGTTGTACCCCAAAATTTGCCCAACCTTTTCTTTACTTGGTTTATATTTCATTTCATTGTTCTAGCATATTGCATTGCATAGCAATTTGCATCTTACAGGTGTTGTACCCCAAAATTTGCCCAACCTTTTCTTTACTTGGTTTATGTTTCATTTGTTCTAGCATATTGCATTGCATAGTATTTTGCATTTTTTACAGGGGATCAAGATATGTGTGTGCAACAAGAGGGATTTGTCAAAGGCTCTAAACTTAATCAAGAGGTTGTATTCAAGTTAACAAGAAGGTTATCATCATCAGAGACAAGGCAAAGCCCTTTGGATAAGCAGATAAGTGCATGTGGTTTACCTCCTATATAGGAGGCCATTTGAAGACCATCAGAGGATCACAAGCCCGTGGTTATGAAGAGAAATGAACATTCAAGCTCATTAGAGGCCTTGAGGGTCATGGTGAAGTTCATTCAAGTGTTTATACCAGGTGCAAGTGGCCACAGTTGAAGTTGGAGCAATTAGGGTTTTCATCTGGTCAACCCTAAGTCAACTGTGAGATTAAAGGGGATTAAGACTCAATTCCAAGTCTTTATGGTCAAGGAATGTTGTGTTAAGATACATGGGATATCATTTCAAGATCAATTCATCAAGAATCAAGAGTATGAGGAGTGACTGAATTAGGGTTCTAGGGTAAAATCCCCTGTTTAGTGCCTAACTTCAAGACAACCTATCTCAAGATACAAGTCTCATCTCAACTTTTGACCAACATGGAACTTGTAGGACATGGTCTTAGCTTTCTAAAGAGTACTAGAAGTCCTTCATCTGATTTGCAGAACTCAAGTTATGAGGCTTGCAAGGCAGGGGTATTTTGGGAAAACAAGATTACAGGTCATTTTCATTATAGGTCATTTTCACCACTTTGCAAACTTCAAATGGAAATCTTTCCAACTTCAAACTTGCTCCAAATGGGGTCATTTGCTCAATCAAACATCAAGGTACCATTGCTTTGGCTTGGATTGAAGAATCCCTAATGAAATTTCCATTAAAAAGGCCTTAAAATGAGGAAATCAAATTTAATTCATTTGGAATCATCTTGTATCAACTTTGTGCATTTTTTGAGTGCAAAATACATTTGGAACACAATGCCATAATTGGATTTGGAATTTGAGTGCATCTTGTTGGCCATTTCCATGATTTCTTCAAGAATAAGCAACACACCAAAAGCATACCATGAGATGAAAACAAGGGATCATTTTCAGCCCTTTGATCAGCCTACTCATTATGCAAGTCAGCCATGTCAATTTTACAGCTTAGCAAGTACAAATTCGTGTACTTTGCAAGTGGCCAAAAAGTGATACTTTGAAATCCAATTGGGCTTAAGGAGCTTTCCATTGGGCTTTCTCTTGATCTGAATCCAACACATATATTCTCAGGATCATTTCCATACCCTGAAAGCTGATTTTGGAGAGGGTTTGAGTGAGATAGCATTGAAAAAAAGTGGTGAGCAAGTCAAAATCGTTCTTTAAGTTTCACTGAGTTTTAACTCAAACTAAGTATCCTAAAACACTCTATAAGCTTACTTGGACGTGTCTGGTTGGTTATTTGCAAGCTTTGATAACACATTGAGCTCTGAGGAAGCTTATTTTCTAGGTTTATTTCTTTCAAGTTTTCTCACTGTTTAACCATCTATTTCACGCCATTTATACATATTATTGATCCTCTTGCTGCATAGATGGATTCTGGTATCATTTGATGTTCGTTTATGAACTTTTGCATTTTAGCTTATTTTTTATTTCTCTTCGTTTTTCTTTATTCAAGCATTATTTTTGAAAACTAATAGTGTATTTGTGTTCCTGGTGTTAGGTAGATAGATTTTGGTATAAAATTTATTGATTTTGGTTGAGATTTGGATCATCTGCATTTTGGCCGGTGGCCACACGGTCGGAGAAGGTGACCGGAGACAGCTCTGGCACCGTCTGGTTTTCCCTCTCATTTCAGAGGTTGAAGACGCTGACGTGGCCGCTTGCTGCACGTTGATCTTGTATACTTTTCTTTTCCACGGTTACAATTAAGAAACATGGTGTCCTTCAGTTGACCTGCTACACACAATCCTTTTTAAAACTCATTAAATGAGTTGGTGCAATATGAGGCCTTGGATGTGTTGACTTTTAATCATGCGTTCCTGATTTGATTTCCACCATGCTCATTAGTTGACCGTTGCACATGTAATTACCAGGCTGGTTTTATTTTTTCTGTTGAGCCTTGAACACGCTTGCTATCAACACCCCCTGGCTCAGCCCAGGCGCTTTTTGCACTATGTTGGGCTGCTATTGGCACCAACAGTTTATTTATTTCCTTGTTTTTTCTGTTGTTTTTATTTTTTACATCTGTTTTGAATTTAAGTCAAATAAAATAGTTCCTATGGTGATAAAATTCCACAAAAATATATTTTGGATTCTTTGAGATGTCCTCTGAATTTAGGTTATTTTTATTTTATTTTATGAGTTATTTTGAATTTAAAAAATTTTTTGTCTTTGGAAGTGTCTTACTTGACCTAATTTTTAACATGTTTTGTTCTTGAATTTGTTTCTTCCATTTCTTTTTGATCCAATGAATAAGATTTAATCCTCATATCAATGATGAGTTGATGAATTTTTAAGGACCATTTTCCCCTGTTGGTTGACTTTTGTTGCCTTTCATCTGTCCCTAAACAATCCTCCTTCACAATGGAGCACCCTTGTGAATCAATTTCTATGGTGATGTTGTGAAGTGAATTTGATTGAGTTCTTTTGGCCTCTGATTGGCAATACATTTATGGTCTTCTTTCATTTTATTTGATAATTTTTGGATCATTTTCCTATTTTTAGGGTAGCTTGCAAGTCAAGCTATTCAAAGGAAGGTCCATACAAACACATTGACCTAGTTTGCTTTGGATATGATATTTTTGGATCATTTGAACCTTCAAAGCCTTTTGATTCATGTTGCTAACATGTTGAGGATGATGCTTGTTCATTTTTAGGTCATTATATTGTGTTTAGCTTGTTCTTTTGGTTGCTTACTTTTGGGCTTTCAATTAGGGTTTCTTTGTGAAACATGTGTGCTTCCCTTTGGGAATTGACTTGCACTCCTTTGTGCTTTGTTTTGCTCTGGCTTTTGAGAGCTTATAGTTTATGTCCCTTGCTGTCCAATGACCTAGGAGTATCATTTAAGGTGGCTTGGTCTCTCCTTTAGAGGTACTTGAAGTTTGCCTAAAATAATGGAATCCTTGAGGAAATTTCTTGGTGATTTCTTTGTGCTTCTTTGTATTTTGCTTGTGATGCTCATGGTTGAGTGTCTATATGAGTTCCTTGTTGTCCTCATATGATCTCCCATCCTCACTTTGTTTTAGGTTTTATTTATCTTTCATTTGTGTTTGGTTTTGTGCCTTATGGTTGATGTTGCTTGGTTTAGGCCATTTCATCCCATTTTAGTGCACTTGTGTGTTTCCTTTGATGCATTTTCTTGGATTTTCTTCTCTTTCATATTTCATATTGTTGTTTGAGGTTGAGATGAGCTTGTGGAGGCTACTTCCCCACACCAATTTCCTCCCTCATTCCATGTTTACATTCTTACATTGTTTATGT